CTCGCCGTGATACTGCTCCCTCATGCCAAATTTTTCTAGAAAAACCCCTGCATTTGTATAATATACAATGGACAAATCATGCATCACTGTTCAAGAAAAGGATATGGTTTGACTGAGGTCCATCTTAACTGCCCCAGTGGGATCCTCCAGGTAGTAGCTGCCAGGCTTGAGCTGGGTCACCATGCCCAGCACAATGATCTCTCCCAGCTTAGCAACGCTTCCTAGCAGGTACTCCACTGGTCTCAACTGTCAAAAGAAAAAAAAATAAGATATCTGTCACCAAAAAGTCAAGACCATAGCTTGTTCAGGACAAAAGATACAAAAACCGGAAGTTCTGCTGCAGTACCAAGGTCATCCACCAGGAGGCCCATACTTGACCTTGACCTTTGTCTTTCTAAGACTTACCATCATACCAAATATCATCACAATCCATATAGGCGTTCTGAAGTTATGCTGACCACAAAGTTGCGGAAACACACACAGACAGACAGACATACATACATACATACATACATACAGACAGACAGACAGACAAGCCAAAAACAATACCTCCATTTTTCATGGAGGTAATTACGGTTCTTGATGGCAAATGTGCAGATGTTGACACATTGGTGCTCCAAACTTTGGCACACATTTAGACAGATTAATCTAAGAGGCTCAGTGAGCACGCCACCGTCAGGGAAAGGAAGATAGTGTCAAGTGCCTTTATCAAGGTGACAACATCGGGCCACGAGAAAAGGTAGTGGATACCTGTAATGTCTGTCTGTTTTCAAAACCGATTCAGCTGCTTGAGTAGCTGCTACTTCGGTAATCACCACTATCATAATTCAGTAAACAGTAAAATCTATTATAAATCAATGCTTGTTGCTTCATCGCAATTCAGTACCATCTACATAATATGCTATTTAGCCCTGGTGGCCCATGTTTGAAAGCATCCCTGTATCTTACACTGTTTTTTTTCTATTAAGATACAGAAAAGGATTTCCGCGATCTGTTAATCTTTACCTGGAACTTCTTTGTGTGTTGTACAGGATTGGCTCCCATGACAGGAGGTGTGAACAACTCATGTCTGGAGGTTCTCTGTGGGAAGGACAAGGTTCACTTCATCAGAATTCATCGAACATAAAAAAAAACTATTTCTAGAGATTGAATGTTATCAATCATATTACATATGCAACACAATTACCAGCAAAACTGGTAGATATTATGCATGACAGGTTAAGAGAAACACAGATACTGTAGTGTATGACTATCCCATGTTACTAACCTGAAACAGGACAGTATATCTGTCCCTGAAGAGTTGGGCCTTGTCAGTAGCCTGGCCATGTAGGCTTCTTGGTGCTGTGGAACTGTGAAATAAATAGAAAAGCCTGTCATCTCTAACCTAACAAAACAGTACAAAAGAAAAAGGAAAAAACACAAATCTGAAAAAGTTTGCACTTTTTTTAAAACATCTATGATGCTAAGATAAGTGCTCTTTTGACAACGACAGGAATCTAACATGCAAGATATGAAAAATTTAACATCTACAGTACTTTCTGGCATTATACATGACTGTACAGTATGTACAGCTCCACTATCATATGGGTCATGTACTTACGGTATAAACTTCTTCCTTTCTGAGTTGTAATCAAACTTTGGAATGGCAAAAGCATCAATCACACTGAAGACCTGGTCACTGAAAGATAATAATAAGAACGTGGATGAACAATTATACGATGTAACAGGATAGTGTACTAGTGCATATTCAAATGAGTGGATTAACTGACAAAAAACACAGCTGAATAATAACATAGAAACATCTTGGCTATAAGGTTGCCCATTCAGTGTTCGAAATACCCGTCTGCAGTCTGCAATCTGCAGATAGATTTTCAAGATTGCAGAAGAAAAATTTATACAATCTGCAATTTTGCAGCAGGAAAAATTGGCACTTGGGATTTGACGCTTTTGGCCCCAAGGACAGACAACACTTAAGCTCCTGTTTTGAAACAACAGGAGCTTCTTCACTAATTTGCATCAACCTTGTCTTGACTTGTTTATCTTTTGTTTCCTTTTGGACTTCCAAAAATTTGTGTTCACTAATTTGCATATGAATCAATAGTTCATGCTTATAAACCTGCAAGATTGTAGTATGGAGGCTTGTGTATTTGCAGAAAGTATTTCCAAATTGCAGAACAAAATTTTTACTCTTCTGCAATATTGCAGAGCGCTGAAAAAAAGTATTTCGACCACTGCCATTGCAAATAACATGCCAGTCAAAAGTCACAGTGAGCATGTTATAGCTCTGAAGCATTTAATATTACCTATCCTCCTCTCCTCCTTGCACACAGTCTTGTACAGCTGCTTCTAGCGTCTCTCTGTCTATCATAGAAGACTCCACTGAAAGAAACATTGCAGAATGGTAAACTACAAAAGAGTAGGAAAAGTAGGAAAAACAATACCGTACATGCCCAATTATGATATATTTTCCTTGAAAGAGCTCTCTTATAATTTCAAATCAAATGCTGATATGCAGTCCTGATGAAGTTAACGTTTAGGGTTGTAGCTTTTGTAATGAGGTAAAATCCCACCTTCCCATCTCAACTAGCCTCTACCAGGCTTTGGAGGCAGATGGAAAGAGTAGAAATTGGCTACATAGACAGATAGCATACCAGGAGAGTTGGTCTACTAAAAGAATACATTTTGCCACTCTGAAAACTACTAGTATAACGTTACTCCTTCAGCGGGCCAACTCCGCTGGCATGTTATCTGTCTATTTGGCCAATTTCTACTCTTTCCAGCCACCTCTGAAACCTGGTAGAGGCTAACCCCCAACAAATGAACCTGTTATAGTAAAATGTTGAACTTTATTCCAACACACACTTTACAGAGAGATCAAACTTTCAGCGACAACTGTCGCCTTCATCAGGATAATTAATGACCAATCACTTCACAACGTGATATCGCGAGAGTTACGGTTTACAAAGCAATTGATCAAAAGTGCCTGAAAATTTGATCTCTCTGTAAATTGTGTATTGGAATAAAGTTTGTTTTACTATAATTACTACTAACACAGATGAAGTTTCATGATAAATGAACCTGTTACTCACATGGTTGTTTCTGCACAGCCTCAATGATCCGGTCCAGCCACTCTTCCCTCTCTACCTCATTCACAGGATCCAGAGCTTCAACCAGGAACTTACTGGCCTCTCTGGAACATAGCACATCTTCAGTATCCTAGCCGTGGACGACTCTGGTACACCTTTTTGCATGATGTCACCGGCATTATCATGCAAAAAGGTGTACCAGAGTCGTCCACGGCTATCAGTATCCCATTCCTTTGGTAGAGGCTGTTTTCTGCTATTGACAGGCTATGGATTTTTTCCTCATCTTTTTTTAAATATTGACAGGCTGACCCTAACCCAAGCCTTAACCACTATAAAACCTGGAATTTTTCCTCACTGATATTCATGGCTTTTTCCAAATGTGGGGTATTCAAGATTGAAAAGAAACAGCACCCCGATGGGGATGACATGTCATGTACTACGTGGTTATGACTCATATATAAGTGATGACATCATAATACAATAAGACAAAGCTCAATATGAAGCTGTAAAGTATCAAACCCTTGTCCTCAGGTAAACGCCCCCCTCCCCCACCAACTTTCACTAGTAACATAACATGTCATCGTACTTTACACAAGAAAATGGGCGACTCCAACGAGCAAATTTCACCAAACTGTCTTACCGCTAGGCTACAGTTCTTGATTGAAAAATACAATGACGACTTACATCCTGAGTGACAGTCCGTGCATCTTGAAAGCGCTCACGATCGAAGACTTGAGTCGTCCGGCCATTTTGCCTGCTGCGAAATTTCCCGCCAAATTATGAGGGTGCGATTGGGAGTTTCGGACTTTAGGCGACAGTTGATATTTGGCCACTCAGTATGTCTTTAATTCATAACAAAGTATCAAAATGTGGCGTCTTAGTTCATACCAAAAAGCATTATTGTCTGTCACATCTACATTAGTTTCATTAGGGCTAAAGTACAAAATAAAGGTTGTTCAAAATCCCACGAGTAGCCCTTCCTTTCTGAGCATGCGTACTTCGTACTTGTCAGAGGGGCCAATGACGTAATACACTTCCAACTGTGAAGAAAACAAAGTGGGGAGGGCAGCGAAAAAACAGGTCAGTAACTCTCACTTTTGGAGCGTTTTGTCGCCAATTATGCAGTTATGGGCAATTGAATGTATGTAGAAAGGATGACAGACCCCTAGCAGTGCTAGAAATGCTGAAATGTCTTGTTGCTGATCCGTTATTTCTTTTCGGGCGGGCATGACCTAAGTTTAGGTCACTCGGTCAGCTGTGAAGATAAGGCTGGTTTTTAAAAGCTAGATCTTGCAGAAATTCAAAAATCGTTGTCCTTCTGGGCGATGTGGTACAGCAGATCAGAATTGCATGCAGCAAAAAGCAGTAATCTCAATATCATATAATTATGTAGAAAATTGCTCTGAGAATTTGCCCTAAACTCTGAAATTTAAATCTAAAGAAATATATATTTAAATCCCGGAAAGCTTCAGGCCCAACATCTGGTCGAAACGTTGGAATGTGGAGCTGATAAATATGATGGTGTTATAATTACAGTCACAAATCAAGTGAAGACATATGTGTGCCAAAAATTGACAGAAAGATGGGATACTGTTTGCTAGAAATGGTGAAGCATTTTACCAGCCTTCCATGACAATGGTATTTATTTGTTGTGACACTTGTTTGGTCAATGGATGAGACCAATACATTTACATTAGCCTGGAGTCCAGCCTTGTTAGCCAAGTCTGCTCCCCAAGATCCACTTTCCAGCCACTTTAGCCTAACGTTGGACGTTTTTGTGTGATCTATATGTTACTAGTATATGACAATAGTGTATACTAGTAACCAGCAGCCAGTTGGTTTAAAAAAGAACATCATATATTATAAATTATGTCCTCTTGGTCTTAACCTTATTCTTATATAACGTTATAGTTTCAAGGTAGGACAATATAAATGATTAAAGCTTTCCTTGCCAAGTGAGTTTCCAAGACTATTCTTAAATATTTGTTGTTGCAGTATTGCTTGTTGGAATGAATAGATGAATAATCCATACTAACTTATGCATTGTTTTTCACTACTGCCTCAGTACCCGAGCAGACTGAGTTGACTGATGTTGAGGCATGGAGGGAGCGATGGCAGCAGAGCAGGCCCCGTGTCTGCCCAGGGAGAGGAGCGGACATGTGGCCGTGATGTGGGGGACTCGCATGTTTGTCTGGGGAGGATATGTGGTCAGTACACAAGCTCCAAGATCTGCTTTTGATGTAGCCTGGTTACCAAACCTCTTTTATAGCTCCTGAGTCCTACTTCCTCTCCGCAAATAGCGGAGAGGATGTAGGACTCGGGAGCTATGATAGGTCTGGTAACCAGGCTACTTTTGATGTCTAGAAATGCAAGACAGTGATGTGGAGGACATGCATGTTTATCTGCATGGGGAGGATATGTGGTCAGTACACAGAGCAGACACAAGGCATCCAGGGCTCGAAATACTTTCTCCTGAATTCCTGCAGTCTGATGCAGATGACACTGAAAGTAAACCTACACCAGACCTTTGGCAGACAAATTTTACCTGCACCGCTCAGACTTTGAGAAGCACTGGTACAAAATATATGGATCATACTAAAATCTGTTCAGGAACCATTGCCATTATTTCTTTATACTTGATAGGTGGTAAGTAGAAGCAAATAAAAATCTACATACACCTAATTTTTGTGTATAAACCCAGCACATGGACCAGTGCAGGTTGGGTGCAGGTAGACATTAGAAATGCCTACATAGGCCCAGTTTTACCCGCACTAAGGTGCATATGTACACTAGTTACCCAGTATTTTGAGCCCTGATGCCTAAAAACACTATTAACCTCAGCTTGGAGAGTTCACTTTCAAGAGAAGTCAAGTGGACTCAAGTGCCTGTACTACTGAAGTGTTATTTGCAAGTGTTTGTAAGTTATATTTTACATATGTTGGTGTGTGCCCATAATACATTACATGCAGATGAGTGTCAATCTTTAATGGTTGATTGTATCATTAGGATGAGGATCCCCAGGAAGGTGCAGACTGGGACAGATATCTCCCGACTGAAGAACTCTGGATCTACGATACAGAAACACAAACATGGTAGGTGCAAACTTTTGTGAATGAACTATACAGATCCTGATGTTGAAATACATTGAATATCATGGTAATTGGTAAGTATTTCAAATTTGTTTGGGCACAAGAAGTTATGTTATTGTGATGGTATTTTATATCATTTTATTTGACCACGCAAAGAGTTGTGTCTCATTTGAATGAAGTTGTTTCCCAAGTGTCATCATCATCAGTCTAGTGAGTCAACCATATTGGTTAGCTCTTTAGTGTACACAAAGTTTAGTCAAACAATTAACCTTCTCCCTGCAGCCTAATCCCAAAGCCAATACAAATTTGATGCCAATTAAATAATAGCTGCCTTATCAGCAAGAAGGTAGAAATGCAATGAAATGAAATGAAGTGTATACATGTACATTGATGCCTGATGGTGTTTTATACTGCAGGACTAAGGAGATGACCAGTGGCCAGTACCCACCTGCCATGTCAGGCAGCTGCTCTGCTCTACTGGGGGGATTCATGTACATCTTTGGTGGGCATTACGACATGGCAAACTCCAACAAGGTAAGGAAAAAAAAGACATGCAAACATAAATATAGACTAGAAAGGTAACATTTGAAAAGCAAATGCATAATCTTACGCTCACATTGTGTTTTATTAACCTTAAAATAATATCTTTTGTTTCATGCAAGACAGTATGAAATTGGCAAGACAGTGTGGCATTGGCAGGGCAGTATCTGGCTGATGTAAGAAAAAAAAGGAGGCCATATAAAAACACCTAAATAGTAAAACATGTCAAAAATGAGCGTATACTTCTGCTTGGAGAGTAGCCTTAACCCACATGGCCTTCAGACTACTAGCACTGTTTCAGCAAATCATCTGTCTAGCAACCCTCCAGAATGTCAATAAATAATTTCTTCCTCTTGTGTTGATCCTTCTCAAGTTGTTTAGACTGAACCTGAGAACCCTTGAGTGGCAAGGTGTGGAGGGGAAGGGCATCCCTCCCAGTCAGAGGGACAAGCTGGGCTGTTGGGTGTACGAGAGAAAGTAAGCAGAAAAGTTCTCTTTGAAATCCATTTTGTCTTGCCTTGGTGTATCCATTTGTACTCCAAATTGCTTGTATACTGAGTCAGTAGCCTCTACCAGGCTTGCTAAGTAGCTGGAAAGAGTTAAGAAAGTGGTGAACGAGACAGAACAGATGCCCCTGGCATGCTATCTTTCTGCTTGGCTAATTTCTACTCTTTCTAGCCACTTAAGAAGCCTGGTAAAAGCTAGTGATCCACTGATTGATAGTTGTTGTCACAATAATTTCATCTGTGTACTGATGTTTCATCTTACCTTTTTTTTTTAAATCCCAACAGACTGATCTATTTTGGAGGTTATGGCTTCCGACCACAAAGCCCCCTGAAGGGGCAGTTTGAGCCAGATGAGGCAGTTGGGCTGGTAAGTATTATCAGTAAATATACTAAGGCCATGTTGATTTGATTATATGGATGACATCCGCGCGCGCATGAATTTTCGGCCGTTTCCAAAAAAAAAAAGTTTTCAACCATACTGTAAATCGTACAAAACAGTTGCAAAATGAGCAAAAATATACCATAAGTTACAAAAAAATTAATAAAAACTATACCAATGTCGTAGAATGCCAAAATCAAACGAAAAAAGACGACATTGTAAAGAAATGAACTTGAAGACTAGATTATTCGCCAAACCATATTCTGTGCCATTTGCTCAACCCTCATGACCACGTAGATTTCATAATGAAAAGAACTTTTTTTTTTGCAAAACTTTTTTTTTATTCGCACACGCGCATCAGTTTTGGGGCTCCCAGAGGATGTCATCCATATAATCAAATCAACATGGCCTAAATTAGTGCTGCATACCGGTTCACTGGACTTGGATCCGGACTTGTAAAAATGTTTAGGTTCAAGTCCAAAAAAACCTAAAAGTCAAGAACCGAGTCCGGACTTATTACCATAAAAGACCATTTCACATACCCCTTTTCTTTCCATACCACCTAAAACCAACCGTAGCTTGCAAAATCTTTGCTGCAAAATGAAGAAAACATTGCCATCGGGCATCGTCAAGTACCGGCCTCCATGTTATGTGGCCAAAGTTTCACCCAGACAACATTGCAAGGTTGCCAACCTGCAATTTTGTATATGCCATGGGTTTAGGTCCGGACTTACAAGTCCGGAACTGAACCTAAACCTCTGGACTTGAATCCGGACCTGAACCTAAAATTGGGTTTAGGTATGCATCACTAGCCTAAATACACTGTATACATTGTGTATTCCTCTTTCATAGGTTAGCAGTATAATGTATCCTAGCACATCTGTTGATAGAAGTATACAAATACATGCAATGGAGAAGTACATAGTAAACATTCTTTTCTATACCACCTCTTCTTTTATGAAGGGAATAAAATGCTATCATATCTATGTATTAGACAATTTTTTGTTTTAGAGTAATTAAAAGAAATCTCGCTGAATTGCTGCTTTTCATTTCTCTGCAGGGCCTGAGGGGTTGGAACAACCACCTGTGTGTTTTTGACACTGTTGCTGAGGAGTGGTACCAGCCAGAAACAACAGTGAGTCAAGCTAGCTAATGAATGTTTCTTACCCAGTGTTACTTTCTTATAATTATGTAGGCCTAGTTCTCATCCTTGGGCATATGCCATCATTGCCCAACCAAGAATTGCTATTGAAAAAGCCATGGAAGGCAAAACTGAAAAAGAGGTACTGTTCCATCAAGGACAAGAATTAAGATTTAGAACTGAGAAGGATGAAGCAATAACAAGATTATGCTAATTTTTTTTTTTTTTTTACTTTCAGGGAGAGGTCCCAGTTCCTCGAGCAGCCCATGCCTGTGCTAGGATAGACAACAGAGGGTATCTGTTTGGGGGAAGATATTTGGTAAGTTCCTCACAGCATTTGTGTTCTCATATTGTATCTAATCACTGACGTTTTTTTTAACTTAAATAGACATGGATCAAATGTTGTACAGTAGTAGACTACTCTTTCTTACTTAAAGGTACATGTATCATAGGTTTTACCTGTGTACTCTGTGCTCAGCTTTCCTTTTTCTTTTTCCAGGAAACTAGGATGAATGATTTACACTGTATCAACCTAGACACATGGGAATGGAGTGGCAGGTAAGTCTTCCTATCTCTCTAAAGGGCCACTTCATTGAGTCACCATAGTTAATCAAGACTACACTTTACAATTTATTATTCATATCTTCACTATTGGCTCAAATAATGCGTAACTTTAGAGTTGTTTTTGAATAAATTGGAATGAAGACATGTGTACTTCTGTTAATTCGGAGAAAGAGAAACAGTACCCTATGCCAAGGCTTTGCCAATGATGGTTATTTTGTGACATCTTGTTGTGTCATTGCAGAATCACAGTCCCAGGTGGGCTTCCCCTGGGGAGATCGTGGCACTCCCTCACCCCCATCTCCACCAACCAGCTCTTCCTGTACGGAGGATTCACCACAATCTGCCAGCCACTAAGTAATTAATTCATACTTTCTATTGTGCACATCGCTTTTCTAATTGGGCATTTTCGTGTCAAACTCTGTACTGTGATTTGATTTGATTTGATTTCCAAGCAGATCCTGGCAAGGCTGTAACCTCTCTGGTTTGAGTTGCATTATCATTTTGTTTAATCAAGTCCTAGAGATTTTGTTGTTAATTTGTTTCATAGTTGACCACATTAACTGATTATTAATTTGATTCGAACTTAAGTTACCTTATGTTACTTAATTATGTTACTTTTATAATGTCAGTGATCACTCTGATTCGAACTCAGTTTATGTTACTTAATTATGTTGATTATTTTAAATTATTCAATTTATGTTAATATTGAGTTGAATTCTGTACATTTCTGTTGTTATAATTTTGAATTTTATGTGGACTCCAGGAAGAATAGTGGTTAGTTGAACACTAATGGAGATCTAATAAAAACAAACAAACAAACAAACAAACCATTGGCCAAAGGTGCGGTCACTCTGATGGTTACAGCCTTGCCTCTATAGGATATGCTTGGAGATAAATCTGTTGAACAATTTTGTGAGTGCTATTTTTTTTATTTGATTTTTTATTTGTTATTTTTACATGCAGAGCATTACAGTTTGCATACCAGTAGTCAATTCTAGTACCAGTATTTGAACCTGGTTACTATAATGTTTTAGTGTGATTTGAAAAACTTATTGTAGCTTTAAGACGATGATGCATCAGAAGATCCAGAAAAATCTCCATTTCATAAAGTGTAACCACTGTTGCAATCAACTACTTAAGAAAAACATTTGCCAACAGGTGATGGCTGGGTACTGGACACTAACACACATGAATGGATGAACCTAGACTACCTAGCAACAGATAAACCTAGGTGGGTATATGTAAATCTTTGGGACTACATGTATGTATTTTCAAAATTTTCAAAAGGTTTGTTGTGCAAGTGTAGTATGCTCACTTTGTGTGAGACCCAACATATTTAAAGTTGAATTTACGCATGTGGTGCACTCAGGCCTATACAGAACTAAGAATGGCTACTTGCCCGTGCTGTCCCTCCCCATAGGTTATGGCACACAGGTTGCAGCACCATGGAAGGAGAGGTCTTTGTGTTTGGGGGTTGCAGCACAAACTTATTAGAGCCCATGCCAACAGTAAGTATGCAAAATTTTTATTGATGATATTTGTAACCTGATTTGGTCTGTAAATCATCACTAGTCTCTACCAGGTTTTATAAGCCACTGGAAAGAGTATAAATTGGCCTTGTAGACAGATAACATTGCCAGAGATGTCTGCTAAAGGAGTACAGTTTGCCACTTCTAAAGCCTGTTAGAGGCTAAATCGGCACACAATTTTGCTTGTGTCGTGAGATAGATCTTAACAATGGGATGTTTCATGTTTGTCAGAGGTTAAATGACAAAATATCTTTCCAGAGACAAATCATTTTGCTGACAGATATTGATATTGTTGTGTGTTCACAGGTCCACTGCAATGATATTCTAGTCTTCAGTGTAATGCCAAGGTCCTTGCAGAGGTGGGTTGTATGTATCACTTGGAAATTGTAGGCATCACCTTGGAAATTGTAGGCATCACAGACTTCACATAAGATGAACTTAATTGCAGAACAACTGCATCCCTATTTTTGACTTGTCAAAATTTTTGTAAGCAACTTCTGCTGTATTCCATAGCGAAACAATATTTCCTCCTCCCTCTTCCCTTTCCCAGGATATGCCTGGACACGATTGTCCATCACAAGGATGTGCTGGCCCCGCTGTGTAGCATGCTGCCCCGGGAGCTGAGGCAGAGGTTGGAGAGAAGACTGGGCATTCCCCTGACCAACCCTGCACCCGAACAGGTGCAGCACAGGAAATGCGAGGGGGTCGGGGCATAGCTCTGCATCCTCCTGGGGGTCGGGGCATAGCTCTGCACCCCCTGGGGGATGGGGGCATGGCTGTGTAACCCCCAGGGGGTGGGGCATAGCTCTGCACCCTGCAGGCCACAGAATTAGCCATATGTTCCATGGTTGTAACAGTGACCAGCACAAAACATTGTGTTGTGTAGCATGTTGGCAGATGGTACTGTGCCTGAATGAAACCTGTAATGTACTGTGCGTAGCACTTTGGCAGAACGTCTCGTTTAAGGACTGGTCGAATTTGGGTACGTTTGTATTTAAGGATGACATCCCATCTATAATTTTCAAATGTTGAGGGGGGAAAATTCTGATGCATTGTTGACCAACGAAAACCACGAACATTCTGAGTTTCACACAGGCCCAGTATGCTGTTGTACACTGTATATTTGCTTACCAGAAATCACCACTTTTAGTGGGATCACACAGAGGCACCAATAGTCATTTTGATTTTTGGGTCGTCCGTCTAAGACACAAGGAATTAGCCTGGGTGCCATCCATTTTGTAACAGGGCTTTTTGCACAAACTGAACAAAAAAAAAATCTGGTCAGCAAGTAAAAAGAGCCCTACCACAAAACAGATGGCACCCAGGCTACCAAGGAATGCTTTTAGTGTGGCCATCTTCAGTTACCCAATTAAAAATAACAAGTACTAAACCTGATATAATATTTGTAAAATAAAGAATGTCTGTCTATATCAGTGATGCTACATACCAGACTAGGAAGGTAAAATGTGAAGATTGTTTATAGTTGATTATGTTTCATGTGGAAGTTCCTCAATAGAAATCATACAATTATTGACCAAGTATAATCATGGTGATGTGAAATTATTATGAGACGAGTGATTTCTGTAGCCCTGGAACTTCATCTTCTAAAGTCAGCCTGTTATGTCAAAGGGTATAAAAGTTACTGAATTAATGATTAAATTGTATAGCCTTCTTTGACTGTCCTATAAAGTTTTGTTTTCAGTCCCTCCTTCTGGAAATTCTGTTCTTTATCAACCGATCTGTTGTACCTTGTGGTCCTCTAATCAACACTTTTGATTGGAGACCTGATCAGAGCAAGTAGAGGCAATGTTTGTCATGGATTACTGGTATTCCAAAAGCTGTGGAAAAATGCTGATGATGGCTGTTAACCTTGATCACTTTGTGTTTATCTTTACAATAGGCTAGAGTATGCTTGTGTTAGCCCTGAATGGCACAGGGTCTGAACTGACAGTCTGTCATGTAACTGAGGGAATGACACCTCTATGGAGCGGTTATAAAACAAATGTACATACAGTATGATACATGTAGCACAAGGACACAAAATGTGTACAAATTCCAGCTTCTATGAAGTCAGCATAAATGTGACATTAATCTGGACGTGTGTTGTTGATAAACAGTACATCACACTTTACTTTTCACTTTACTACAACTATACATGTATCTATAGACTGTAAACTTAACAAAGGAAGATATGTAAAAAAAACTTGTACCTTGTCTTCTCACAGTAGTATGCATCAAGGTGTATTAATAACTGTCAATATGGTAAACAAGGAAAAGGAAAAAAAGAGCCAGGCAAGTGGATGTTTAGAAATGTTGCTTGTTTCTCTTTATTCTATATGGACTGTAGGCTATGGTGTATGCTGGATGTCAGTGTTACGTGAGAAAAAGGTGTTTCTTTGTTCCATAGAATAACTCCTTCCACTGAAGTAAGTAAATATGCAATATATAGTGAGAACCACATCCATGTATTTCTTTGCATTGTCTTTGGAGCACGACTCCTGTTTAAAAAAATCATATTATCTCTGAAATGCTTTGATTTTGCATGTCTTTATATTCCTACAAACAAGGAAATACATTGATGTGTTTCTAACTTCCTATGTATCCTGTGTCCTGATTATAAAGTAATCATTATTGTATGTACATGTACATGTAAAACTGATTTGTGCATACAATGTATGCATATGCATATATAGTAGTAGCACAGTATGCATACATGTATATATCTGTGTAAGCACCATGGTGTAGTATACATCGATGAGTGGAAAACTATGCTGAAATGTTTACCACATAAAAAATCAGGCATCAACAGAATGTACATGTAGGCTGTGTTAGACTGTACAGAATTTAATTGTCAAAAACAACAGATAACTGATTGGTATCTAAATTGTGCACTTGCCAATGTAAAGCCAGAGGGATAAAGGCACACATTGCATACAAGTAATTAAATTTATAACTTTAATTTACTAGTTCTCTTCCCCTTTTTCGGGATTGTTACTGGTAGTACAATATCTCCGAAGGGTTACTTTGGCACTTGGAGATGAACATTTGCTACTGCCAAACACGAAGGATATGTTAATATGAAGAATATGATGAACTTACACCCACACAAGGCTTACATTAACAAGTGCATAATGTCTATAGATCAGTAACACAGCACTGATGGTGAAATGCTGCACAAATATAATCCCTTGAACAATACCATCATTGTCCTTCATTTATAGTCTCCTACTACATGACTATTTGTACATTGATTGTACTAGTATTAGGAAATGTTGGCTCTGCACACGGCTCCATTGCACAGTGTTAAACAAAAAAAACTGCCAACAGTAGCTGGTGACACAGTTACAAGCAGCCATTGTTCCTATCACATTACAAAAGGATCTCTCTCTAAAAACAAGGTATCAATCTGCTAAAGTTGAGCTACACATTATCTACAGGTACCAATTCTTCCTTAATTCTTTCAAAGCCAAGTTTCTTTTACTCCATACATGCCACTTTCAAGTCACGGTCCTTGTTTGACATATTTGATTGCAACTCAAGTATTCGAATCAAAGAACATTAATAATATCAAACCTTGGGTTCTGAGGTGTTTCTAAAATGTTTCAAGAACCTACCTAACAACCACCTCTTACAATGGTGTTGTCATGTATGACCACCTGCCATGTAAACATACTTGAATAGCATACAATCAATGCCATGTACAAAATACATTGTCTGGTACAAGGATTTTTTGGCTCTATTCAACACATTTGTACACTTATATAAAAGTCTCTAGAGGATAGAACAGCAAAGTTCTTTATTCACAACCACTTCTTTAACAAGAGCTGGCATTTCAACTTTCAATAACCGTCTGTCATCTTCATCACTGCCCTGACGAAGATGACAGATGGTCATCGAAATGTCAGCTCTTGTTAAACAAGTGAATAAAGAAATTTGCTGTTCACTCATCCACCAAGCAGATGAAATTATTTATAGAAGGTCTCTAGAATACAAAAGTTACACGGCTAGACTTCATACTTCATCCTCATTCAGTAACATGTTGGGAATGCCGTTCTTGATGGGGAATTTCCTGCCAGTCTCTGGACACTCCAGGTTCCCCTCTATAACCTCCACCTGAGATGGGGAAAAACACTTATTACTGATCAAATATGCATGGAACAAACTTCCAGGGGCAGTAGTTACTATTAGAGATAGGCAGAGGCGCAAATGTTAATTCTAGTATCCTCAGCGCACACTAACAGCATCTGTCTACCATTGCCAGTCCAGCTGTTAATGCTGTACGAAAGTTGATCATCATCATATCAATTTTCATCATATCATATTTCACTATTCATAAACTTCCTCACGACTTAGTTATTTACAGGTTAGAGCGGTGTTGAATAATAGTAATTATGAGACAAATTGCAGCATTATACAGATATGGTGTAATTATAGTTACCTCCATTAAGACATGATGTGCCATCTTCAGAAACTCCTCATTTGATTCATACTCTGGCACCAACTCCCGTGGTAAGTCTCCAAGATGTCCAATCTGTGGTAAAAAGCCATTGTGAAGAACAGTCACTTCAGAAATGAAGACAGTACATAATGAAAGGCACAGACACATTACTTTTGATCAGAGAAGATACTGTACATAGTTTCTTGTATAGATTTCTTGATAGCCGGAATGTGCACCTCAACATAATACTATTACTTTCAGTCATCAATGACATACCCAGCACCAGACTTCTACCAGTAGATGACTTTTTCAGACATTTAGCAATTAGCACCTTATAGAGGTAGAGTAGATTTCAATCTCCTTTGCCAGGTAGGGAAATCTCTTCCAGTTGAGGCCATTCTTTCAAGTAAAGGCTGTCCCTTTTATCAGCAATAAGAACAGATACATTTTTGTACCTGGACAAAAAAAACACAGCATACTCACGCTCTCTGCTGCTTGGACCAGCGCCTGCCACTCCAGTTTGGGGATCATTCTCGCCACAAACTCGGGGTTAAAGTCCACAGACATTACCTTGATATTTTCTGCCTGCAGCGAAATGAAGCAAAGAAAATATATCATGGTGAAAGTTACCAAGTCAAAGTCCTTCCTGCACCACATAAGCATAAGCAGCGACCATATCTGTTTTGATAACCCTTGGGCCAGACAACACTAGTACTCCAGCAGGGGGCTATTGCTAAGCAGAGAAAGCAGTATGTACCATTTTTATAATAATGCGGGTTTTTATTTGAAACACTTCACAGCCCGAAGGCTGAATTACATGTCCCGTACATTGTATAAAAACATATTGTGACAAGATAATCATTACATTTTTACAATAGAACACTATAGCTAAAAGTTAAAATACCAACCTCATTAAAAGTACTAGGTAGATTAAAATCAAAGTATATAACGGCATGTACATTACAGGGTTACATTACAGAGTGCTGTTTAAAAGCTGGACGAGGTAAGGCAACGGGCTTTTCGCATATCTTGCTGTGCGTGCTGGCAATTGGTCTAGTTTTTTGTTCTGTCTTGTTTCCCTCCCACTGATCTCTCCCCGAAGTCGAGGAAACCAATGTCTGTACTGTTTTTTGGTCCGACTTCGCCATGCAAAGCAGTCATGACCTACTTAATGCAAGGCAAACAAACAAATTCTTCTCACTTGACAGTGCTTACCAAAACCATTAAACAAGGCTAGACAGAATAATGGTGATAGTTCTAATGTGCATGTAGCAAAAGAACAACAACAAAAATACACCAACCTAAGCTACCGGTAAGAGCCTTTTTGTTACAGTCTGAAAACAAATTTAAATGTACAGTGACTTACCTGCAACTTGAGAGGGTAGCCATTAGTGACCCCTTTCACATGGGAAGTTAACATGTTGTGTGTCAGGAGTCTCATTCTGGGGATGAAACAGAAATATCAAAGCTTGAGAATTCTCAAATTGGTCTGTGGCAAAGACAATCGTTTGTCAGATATGAACACACACTAGTCTCCACAAGATACGCGCCGTTTCAAAAGCAGTCAAACGTGGCCAAATAGGGAGAATAATTGACCATTGTAGAGTTATTTGCCCTTTGGTCGTAGGGGTAAATTAAACTCCCCGAGGACTTAGCCTGGGTACCATCCGGATTTTCGCTTGAAAAGCGTTGCGTAGCGAAAATCCGGATGGTACCCAGGCTACCGAGGACTGACTCTCATGGCCAATTACAGCAAGGACATTATATAATGTCCCTGATTACAGTATTCTCTTTTTTGGCAATTTCTATGATCTGCACTCCCTTATATTATTAGGAAGGCCTGGTGGGTGATACATGTGACGTGATACATCACAATGCTGTAAATGCGTTGCATTATTTGGATTTCGCCGAAAACCAATACTTTGCGTTGCCTTTATTTGAGTCCGTGGTGTGTCAGGTAACACAAGCAGAGTAGAGTCATGTAGTAGCAGGCTCCCAGTAGTAAGCGCCAAATCTGTCAGACAATGAAAACGTTGCACATACATCATGTATTTCAGGACTTACAGTACTGTAACTCTTGAAATGCACATGCGGCTGATCATTTTCATGGTTTTCGCAGTGGATTCGTGAATTTACAACTGTACAACAGAATTATTTAAGACACAAACTTTAAAAAATGTAAAAAAAAATTCCATCACCCTTCTATCACCAAATTAAGTCCACACAAAAATAAATGAATGTACAGTATTTTAGTACAATGAGAATGTAATCATTGGAAATATCAACAGCTATTCCACGCTAACTGTTTGATGGTCCTACTTGTCACTTTCTGGTACATGAAGCCATATTCATGCTTTGAACATGACCACATTTGACTGCTCAAGAAAAAGGTAGATTGCAACCAAGGGGTCTTTAAAACCTCCTTGACTGCAACCATGTGCATGTGCCACATTGAACTTCTACACGCATCACAATATATTATTTCACTGGACTTTTGTTGGACAAGAGGGCCTAACAGTTACCAAACATACCTGGAAGTTATGATATAGTACGATATATAGCTCTGGAATGAAGAAAATGAACACTTACGTTGTTCTGAGCGACAAAAACATGCAACCCACGTTTTTTCTCGACCCGGAAGTACAACCTTTCACCTGCGGTTGTTTCGCGGTGCATGTCGGGAGTAGCCCCGGAACCAAGGCAATCATGGCTGACTCAGTAACCTAAATGTTTTTTTATCGTGCGTGTTTCACCCGATTTTTGGTAAGTCATGTATGTATTTTACACATCAACTGAAGGTGTGAGAATAGTAAGCATGTACCGGATTAAGAGAATAAGATATATTACGTGAAACGTCATCGTTCCCGCGATAACCGAGGGAGTTACTCGTGAACAGTGTCGGCTGCTCGGAAGGCGCCTTCTTCCCTAACCGTAGCTGCGAATTAAAGACGTTTGGGAGTATCTTGGGTTTTGCGGCGCTTACACCGAAGTGCCGAGCTGTGGAGCCGGTCTGTTGGGAGTAAGAAAATGGACGGTAAGCCGGAACGGTAGGAAGCCGGGTCTTGGTATTATGACGTATAGATTTATGTTGGGAACGTGCCCGGCCTTTTACCCGAAGCAGTGCGTCCCTATCCAGATTTAAAACAACAAATCAAGGACAAGCTACGCCTTTCCAGGTTCAAGAAAACGCATGGATTGTTCCTGTTTCTTCCCTACCCATGTGTAGCGATGACTAGATGACACTAACGCGCAGTGAAGGAGACCCAAACGCCGGTCGCCGGCTCCGTGCGAGGTGAGGAGACCTGCCCCTCCCCTCTCTGCGTGCTGACAGGTGCACAGCTAAACTAACATCCACAAATCTACCATGACGGCCACCACCATGGCTGAGGATCTGCTGCAGGTCGGGGCACTGGTCAAGGACCGCTGGGAAGTGGTAAGTCTCGCCACACAAACTCCTGCGGTACTTAATTAGTGTAATTAGCATGCAACAATGTGCACTACTTTTTCCTCATTGTGTTCTATTGTTTATAGGAACCACCTGTTACAAAAACACTGCATTGTTATGGAAATAAATAAGATAGCATCATCTCAAGAGGTGTAGACACAGGGTAAGGTTTCCAATAAGAGATTTTTTTGCTACTCTTACAAAGCGGAAGTTACAAAAGTCACTTGGAAGGTAATGTGGCAAAGTTGTGAGAAAAGAGGATTAAGCATCACACATGAGTGTAACATTATCCCATAATTAAGACTGGTACCTGGCACCAGTTGATCAGCTCAGCCCAGAGCAAAGGGATGGAAACTGTGACAAATTACCTTCTTAAAAGTTTCTAAAGATCATGTTTGTCCAAAATGATATGTTGGTCTATAATTACATCTAGAACACAGAGTCAGGTGTTACCAACTTGTCAGAAAGCCTAGTCATCCTGTAGACTGTATAGCTGATTCCTTGACTCATATGTTTTCATTTGCGGAAGCACAACACAAATGAAATCAAATCTGAAAACCTTGAAAACCTTGCTCAAAGTGGTTTGTTTCTTCCAACAGCTAAACGATTGGCTTACTAGTAGTTATATCAAGGACATTTCCTTGCCAGTGTTCTTGTCCATAATCATACACAAATTGCACAAGACAAATGACCAAACAATTTAGTGCTAGGAGTGAATCAGTACCAATCATATTGAAGTAGCCATGTTAGGATATAATTTAAAGGCTTACTAATTATGTTAGGCTTATCAAACTCAAAGTGATCGAAAAATGATTGCAAGAAGCAGAACAATTTACTTTGACTGAATATGAATAAGTAGCCTAGGGTGGTAGATTCCAGTTATATAATATTGAGACAGATAAAATCTAACAGTTTTGAGCTTCATCAAAGTTAAATCAAAATCGCTGAGAAAAAGCGATAGGAATAATTTCTCTTGTCAGAAGAGAGATAGACCTACATCAGTACATACATAATGTTAGGATCTAATGCACACTCTGTAAGCTGCCACTCTAAAAATAAACTGACGATGCCCTGAGTGAGACTATTGGTTGGAAAATGGTTCAGAGATTGGTGTGTGCAGTCCATTTGCACCATAAACGTAACATTATGTAGTCTCTTAATTGCCAGCGGGAGTTCTCTGCAACGGCGAACCTCTGACGTGCGACCACAGTCACAACTGACTAGCGAGATCATAAGAATGCCAAAGTACCTACTAGACCAACACAACGTAAGCCTTTGCCATTATCAAGCAACCAAGCAATGCAGTTCCACACTGGAAAACCTACGTGATGGATAAACTGCAATTCAATACTTGGCTGCTGTCCCAGCCATTAGCCATAGGCCCATAGCTTCTACCCATCCTGCACAATTGCAGAAAGTCCCGACAATTAGGCTGCCTCGGGTTCGTATCTCTAAAAAAAAAACAAGACCTCAGTCTCTGTATGCCCTATTCCTGTAGTCAGTCTATGTATGCCCTATCTAGTAAGAAATATCCCAAGCTCTGAATTCTCAAACTGTTTTCGGTCATTCTAAGCTGTCATGTTATCTGGATGATTTGAACCAGTGGCAGCCTGGAGCCATTGCTGTGGTCTGCTCAACATACTGCGATGTACATGTACATACCAAAAACAGGGGGAAGCCACTTATCAGGGCCTGGAATGTTAGTTCTAGCTGTGATCTCATAGAGATACATGGGGAGAAAGGTTACATAGACTGTTGAAACTGTAGACGAAAGAAGCAGATTACCAGAACTGATGAATGCATGGTAGCCAAGCAGGAATTTTATACCTTCTTCGCCTTAATAATAATATCATGGCCATTTATACTCAATTCATGACAAATTTGTAATCCATATCTAATATTAAGTGATTTTTAGCAAAATATTTATGCTATTTGAAGAATACAGTATTGCACAATTCGAATAAGTCAGTGATTCCCAGGGTGTCCTAGAGTTACATAATATATCTGAAGTGCCTGAAGTCTGCACTTGAAGGGTTCATCAGGGGTTATCAGATATTCTCCGGGGGTGATGAAGTTTGGTAAGGGAACTCTGCTCTTGACGTAATCAATACTCAACTTGGTCACTCTGATTGTGGGGAAAATTCCATCCTATATTAGACCTGGCCTCGTATTGATATTTCACTTATAGCGTGGGCTGTGCCCTGTCTACTGAATAAACATTTCCCATCAATAAAAATGGAAAGGAATAATTTTGCCCTGACACTGACCTTCACCCTATAGGTTTTACCATTTGTAAATGTCATGAAATCAATTCTTGTTATTTTTTTATCATTTCCCTCACAGGTTAAGAAGATTGGAGGCGGAGGATTTGGTAAGTTTACCTTTTCCATTCTAAATGGATATACAGAATAATCTACTGTATACAGTCAGTTTTAAGTGTCATCATCATCATCATCCAAAGCCTTGCGGATGTTGGACTCCATCATACACATAAATAGATAAAGCTGACTGACTTGTTACTAGACTAGTATATATGGTTGACCTATGCCTGAACCCAGGGTAATGGTCATATCAGAGCTCACTGATGATATCAGCATCTTTTAATTAATGGGAGGTTAAATGGCTAATGTCTGTGGAAGATGATGGTTGATAATAGATGACATCATTTACAAATTATAAAGCTTGTGTTCCTGGTGCTGGGCAGCCTATTGTAAACTGTCATGGTTACAAAGATGTTGTGTTAGGGTGACAAGACTAGATTATACAAGCTGTCGCTATAGGCATGTTTGGAGACAACAATTTTCCTGTCTATCGGATACTAGTATGTGGAAAATGGTGCTTGAAATCGAGTATCATAAAGGAAATGTCAGGGTTATAGAAATAAGTCGTCCTGTTATCAGGGTGACAAGACCAGATACAGGCTGTCATTTTAGACAGGTTTAGGGACAACAGATATCTGTCCCTCAAATATTTGGAAAATGGTCCTTAGAATTGTGTGTAAGTTTAGGAAATTCAGAGGTCAAGTACCCCCATTTTGTCTTTGCCGTCTATAAGCCTTTCACAGGTTCCGTATGGATGGCACGTTGTACAATTTGCAAATGGCCTCTTGATCATGCTTCAAGTGCGCCCGAAATCCTCACCTTGAAAGTAGCCCCGGCCGTAACTCATCCTACCCGGCGGTGCGTGGCTGTAAAAGTGCAGTATAGTCCTGCTTTAAGAGTCATGAGAGACAGGCAGTTACAGCAGTCATTGGGTGTGGGCTGCAATCAGGGAGAGAGATCCCATCATGGAAGAATTTGAAACCTTTCCACAAATCTCGGTTGAACTCTTTTGTACATTATTAGATAGTTAAGGACATAAATAAATAGTTAAGGACATGCACAACTTATGCATGGAAATACTGTAACAGTCAATAGTGAATTTACTTGTTAGACTAAGTATTGACAAATGTATGGATTGAATAGATAACAGCAGAATCAACTTTTCACATTCTACCCGGTAAGTCTCACTTGTTAGTTCTTCACATTCTAAATGTTAAAAGTCATTTTGACAAAGCGTTGAGAAGAAATCGTGTCAGTCCTCCATCTGCAGGCAACTAGTGCTGCTATTGTGAAGTAATTTTCTGGTGAAACAATCAAACTATTGCCCTTTCATCAGCCAGGTTCCTTAAGGTAGCCAGACGGAGCTTTGGGATGACTTGTATGCTGCTAATCCCCCTCCCAGACATCCAATAGATATCCCCCCACATTCCGCATCCAAGTCATGTCTTCAGTCAGTTTCCAACTAGGCAGGTTTCAGGTGCAGAGAGTAGTGATAAATCACCACCCGATGACTCGCCCCTTACAGCCAATACTTCTCCACCTTGTATGTACTACAGGGCTCGAAATCCTTTTTTTTCTGCATATCTGCACTGATGCTGCTGGTAACATTGAAAATTACCTGCACCTGACAAATTCTACCTGCAACACTCAGAATTTAGGAAGTGTGGATCATACTGAAAGCTATTTGGAAACCATTGCCATTATTTCTTGTATACTCCATGTGATAACGGTCAATGAAGGGAATAAAAATCTACACCTACAGTACATATATTGTAATATAAACCCAGTACTATATGGACCAGTGCGTATTAGGTGCAGGTAGACATCAGAAGTACCTGCACAGCCCCTACACTTAAGTGCATACATGTATGCACCCAATATTTCATGTCTTGTACTATAAATATGCCACTCTTGGCTTTTATCAGGACTCTAGATATGTTCAGGAATGTATATGGGACCACTTAATACATACATTTAGATAACCCAAAGTAGGTAAAATGAGGCCACTAATTGTCATCTATCACTGGACAGGGTGGGAAATACCCACCCAGTATTTTTTTTAGTAAAAATGTACATGTACTTGGAGACAAATTGCCACACTAAAATGTACTACAGGCCTGGTTTTATGAGTCACATTTTGCAGACAGCACACATAAAAGTATGTAGATCTCTGCTGGATTAACTTCACTGGGAGGTTAGAAGTACCACCTCCCCTGTCCCTCCACTAGCTTTTATTGTCACTGCTTTATATTCTGTACCATCTCTTTCTAGTACACTCCACTGGATTAATGCCATCAAGGTGAACACTTGTAATACATAGTAGCAGGCACAATGTCACCAATTACATGTACCAATCAAATCTTTATTTATTGTAATGTAGTGTTTGCTGGTGATTGTTATCATCAGTGCCTAGTTTATATCCTATCTATTAATTTACTACAGATTTATTATAACCTTTGCCATCAGATAAACATGAATATCCAAGCAAATTTCTACATCATGTTGTAGTTGGTACCATGTGGCTTTCCACTGGCAACAGGCCAAAACAGCACATTTGCATGGATATTAGATATGCTCACTCAGCAGTGATTGGAACTTAAAAGCTTCAATGAAGTATCAGGAAATGTAGGTCAGAGCACAAGAATGGAAAGGCTGTGGGGAGGTTGAAGACTTGGAAGTAGGTGTAAATGTATGGGAGCAGTCAAACTATTAAGGAAAATTCAGAGATTTGGGTACAAATTGACTTTGTAAGGTGTGTAGAAATTATAGTTGCTTCCCAACTTCAGTCTTATACTATAGAACATTGTGGAGAAGTATTGATAAAGTTCCCAAAAGGGCGTTTAAGGGTTTTAAAAATTCCATTAACCCCTGGTTAGTCCATATAAATATCTACTAGTACTTGATATGCAAGGTATGGTACTTGGAGGACGTGGCTCACAGGAACAGCTTCTGGTACTTCCTGTGTCCTTACTGGGTCACAGAAGGCAAACAAAAGCCTGTTTGCTGCATTTTGTGTAATGTTTATACAAAAGGAGGACAATATTACAGAAACCCCATAGTCATACTCTCATAGGGTAATAATATACTAGTACCCCCTGGCAAATAGCAAAAGTGTTTGAATTTATATATTTATTGCTGATTCAATTGTCCAGAATTGCCTGCTCTTTGAATATAAGAGTCAAATTCAGGTCAAGGGATAGGTGAGGTTAGGTGAATATAAGATGGGTTTTCTTGATCCATACTTGTACAGTGATAACAATATTACTGGCAGTTGTAGTGTATGCCAGTCAACGACTCAGGAGAAATGTTCAATGTCAATTGCTATGGCTGCTACACTGTGGAATCTCATTTGGTTCAAGGCTTCATGAGCACAGTTCACGGCTCTGCAACCTGTACAAATAGCTAAAACTTGATAAGTTGTAAAGCTGACAGAGCCATGGCATGGCGACCGGCGTGCCCTGAACATAATGGCAGGAGTGTACGTGTTGCGTAAAGCCGGTCTCTATAATGTTGAGCTAGCCTGCCAACGTGAGCTGCATGTGTACACCACACATTTATATTCAAGCACTAAATTTTTCTCCTATACTCTGACGACAAGACTTCCCTACAAGCACAGCTGCAAGATAGATGTTCACCCTTACTTAGTCAATAGACTATACTTCTCTGTCTCTTACTCTTCCAACTTTCTCTTTTGCTGGTCAAGGCCAAATTCAAAGACATCAGCAATTTACCAAAATGTTCACCTCTCTAAAGAGGATTGATAGAGATTAAATCAATTAGATGTTGTCCTAGTGTGAAAATGTTAAGTTATATATAGTAACGTAATATATTGTTCAGTGCCATTTTATCCATGCAATAAACAGTTTTTGTTAGGCTTTGTGTACTGATACCTGTAGTTCCCTTTGCCCCATGCTGGCAGAGGTTGGCATAAACTGATTTTCTGGACGTAATTGATGTACTTAGCAGTGTTAGCCTTCTCCAGGATGTAAAACAAATGTACCATACCAGCCTGCCGAAAATACATTGTAGTCTGCATGTTACTAGAAACTCAACCATTTAATTATGAGCAGCCACAACTGTTTTGCAAGATATTCAGGTCATTACATGTAAAGAGCATGCAGATTTAGTCTGTCCATTGCTTCTAGTACTAGTATTAGAATTGGATTTTTGGATTCTACCCCTGACAAAAAGATACTAGTGGTTACATACTTTAAGGGTTGGCTGGACCCACCTGACAGTGACTTAGCCTATCAGTGAACACGTATCAGATTCTTACTATGTGTGACTGCTTCTTTTTTTTTTATCAGAGCTTGAATCAGCCAGGATCCTATGATGAAATTGGAACAATATACTACATCATAACCCCTTAAAGCCGACATTTCAAGGCAACTTTATACGCTATTTGTCAGCAAAATGCCTGACTGAGCAAAGTGAGCTTACGGTAGGAAATGACATTTCCCGTCCCTGCGGTATAGCATGGCACCAGGTGATGTATGGCATCATAACGCGGGGCTGAAAACAGGTTCAGGTAAGGAAAATTGGTCATGAGGCCCTGGAAGAACATGTTGTGTTTCCTCTTTCAGTCTTGATTTAGGGTAGGTAGGTTAAGGGATTATCGTTTTTTCTTTCTTTCTTTCTTTCTTTCTTTCTTTTTTTTAGGAGACTTTTGCAATCTCTAGTGATCCAACTTATACATTACAGTTTAAAAAAGTAAAACGTGCATGAGGACACTTTCATTTTCAATGTCAATGTTGGAAAACCGCTTCTACAACGTTTCATCACTCAGGTGTCAGATCATGGAGCTAGAAAAGGTTGACCACCTTGAAAAATGTTTATCCCTTGAAGGGGTCCACACAAAAAAAAGGCTAAGGTCGGCAGGTTTTTCTAGGTTCAATCGGGGAATAGGAAACACAACATTTTTTTTCCTAGGCCTGAGGAAAATTGGTCGTGAGCTGCGAAGCACGTTCTCTCGATGTTCAGGTGGCTGATGAGCCATCCAATCACAGCACTGCCCATCCATCTGGAGCCTTGTGTGATGAGGAGGGGAATA